TTTACACGATAGCTTTCGAAAGGAGAGTCAGATCGTGATGAAATTTTCTACACCGTTTAGTCTCATCAATGTCTCGGTCAAGTTCGAAGATGAGAAGGATCCGTCAAGAAATGGCTGAGTTATCGAAAAAATTGTCATTATTGACCAGACCATCACTGAGGGGGGGTACGGGGATTTTTTTCAAAAAAAAATTTTTTTCTCAGAATTATTCACAACATATATAAATCGACTAAGTTTTTAACGCTGATTCCGAATCTGATATTAGTTTTGAACCAAATCGTAGCTTTCTAACAAAACATCGCCTGAAAAAGGTCTCAAAATGCACAAAAGCTGCATCCAGATAGCAAATTGCCTAGATATGTCTCAGATGATAAAAAACAAAGTGAATATACCTGTTCACTTTTTGAAGTACACATAACAATCGGATTTAAATCCGAGGTTTTCGCATTTTTTATGACCTATCTATCGATTTCTATAATTAGTTTCTATCATGATCCTCTGTATTTCTATACAATTAATGCTTACTTGGAAGATGTATCATCTGATAAATTTAATGGTTTTCGTCTAATACGTGATGTTTTTGATGAAGCTAAAATACTTCTTGCTATTAATTGATTTTTATTATTTTCATTTTTTGTTGTTGTTGTTGATGATGGTAATTTTGTATTTAAACGTTTAAGTACATTTCGATTTGAAGTTTTAATTGTTTTATTTCTTAAATAATTCATTGCTTTTTGTACAGATTGTTGTCGTTGTGTATTATTTATTTTATGTTTTTTTGGTAAGAAAAAATTTGACATACCATCAATTAATTGTGCAACAGGACGTGATATAATCATAGGTATATCATCTTCATTTGAATTATGACTACGAAGTGAACGTGTTGATGAAGTTTTTTTCATTAAAGATTTTTTTTCAGATGATTTTATTGTTTCATCATGACGACAATTATGACAAATAAAATCACCTTTAGGAATATGATTTAATGGTGGTTTGCAACATTTTGGATGTATTGCTACATCACAATAATCACAGAAAATTAACTAAAATTAATAAAATATATGATTTATAATGTAATACAAATTCGAAATTTAAATATAACAAATTTTGTCATGACTAGATACAACTTATTAATATGTTGAGAAAAGTTTTTAATCTTAGATTATTGTGCTGTAGGAGATACAAAAAATTTTGACAGTTGTTTTTAAATGAATGTCAAACACTGGAAAAAAAAAACTATTTTCGACCTTCAAGTAGGAAGTTCTTTCTATGAATGTTTCAAGTCTTGTCGCTGTTTCTGTTCTAAGATACACCAAATGGTTATAGTGTGTCTTTTACATCGTTTATATAAACCAGTGGATTTGATGTTCTTATTTCGGGATAAAAAAAACAAATCAAAAGATCTGAAACTTTTTCATGTCTCAAATGGTCTCGTAGATTGAAATATGACTAAATGCACTTTGTACAATTATTCGATATATTGCTTATAATTTGATTAGTTGTCAGAACAAAAATTTTCTTCTCTTTTTTCTTGCAGAGATCGTAAGAATTCATTTTAACAGCTGACAAGGAAACCTTTCCAACTGTTAAATCGCTTTCAATTCATGAGTATATGCATAATGTAGATTCTAATGAGTTATGAATATCCTGAAAAGGATTTGTGCTGCTAGATTATTGCTGTCGAGATATTGCATTTTCAAACAGAAAGCCGTGGTCCCCCTTAGGAATATTAGAAAAACTGAGTTTCGAATTTTGCACAGAGAAAGATCTCAATGAGAATAGTTTATTGTGAAAGTTCCAGACATTTTGATTAATCTTAGTCTAAAATAAGAACATCAGAATCCGCCAGTGTATATGAGTGATGTACAAGCATGCTTTTACTATAGCTATATCTTAAGATAGAAACAAGCAAACGATCTGAAACTTTCATAATAAACTACTCTCATTGAGATCTTTCTCTGTGCAAAATTCGAAACTCAGTTTTTCTAATATTCCTGAGTGGGATCACGGCTTTCTGTTTGAAAATGCAATATCTCGACAGCAATAAGCTAGTAGCACAAATCCTTTTCAAGATATTCATAGCTGATTAGAATCTACATTATACAAATACTCACGACTTGACAGTTGGAAAGGTTCCCTCGTAAGATATTATCCTTATACGATCATAAATGAACTTCTCTGTAATAATATCATAGATGCTATAGTTTCTTTCTATGACAATAGTTAGTTCATATTCAGTATCTCTTAATTTGTTAGTTGAACCAAGATAGCTGAACGTGACTCAAGTTCATTTATAATTTCCTCTATGAAAATCTCTGATTTAGAAATAGAAGATGTCATGTGAGATCACATTCTGATATTTTTCGAGGTCATACAGTCAGCTATCTTTTCTACTCAGACTAAGCTTGAGTGGTAGTTTAGTTCTTTTTTTCTTTAAATAATTTGAAAATTAAAATATTTATTCGTCATGTATACTGATAAAGATAAGTTAAGAGTAACTCTATTTTTAAGTTTTCTTTTCGTAAACTTGAAAATTAAACTACTCTAAATTTTTCTCTGCTAATAAACTTGAAGACAAATTGTTGGACAATTTTTGTTGAAAAATATTCTTTTTCATAGTTGAGAAAATTGATTCTTTTTTTTTTTTTGTTAACATGATAATAAAACACTATAAATACACGTTCGTATTCAGAATTAGTATAAAAATTTACATAAAAATCATATCGAAAAATTTGATTTTTTTTTCAGCTATGAAAAAGAATATTTTGTCAAAAATCATACATAATCTATTTCCCCATAACATGAGAAAAAAAAGGCTTCGAATAAATATTGAGACTTGATGATGTTTTTGACGTATTTCAATTTTTATAGATAATTTGACTAGGTTTATCCAATCATAACAAAACAACAACAAAAAAAAATTTTTGCTTCAATTTTCAATTGCCGCCATCTTACGTACTGAATCATCAGCTTCGTTACAAACAACACAACGTTTACAATCGAGGCATTGCCATCGAATTGTTTTTATTTTTTGAATGAGTTTATCTGAATATTTTAAACATGATGGATGTCCTGTGAAACAACACAAAAAAGAAAAGAAAACGAAATTTTATTCTAGTTTTTCAAAAATACAAGAAAAAAACAACATTATTTTCATACCACAATTTCCACATTCCGAACAACTTATCATATCTTCAGGTACATTATTTGCATTTTTATCTTCATCACCCATACAAAAACTACATATACCAAGTGGTTTAACAATTTTCTAGATAAAAATAAAATATGAAAAAAAAACAAACTAAAAAAAAAGATATTTAGAGAACTTTTTTTTCATGTGTATTTGATGATATTCGTCGTTTAGTTGAAGAATTTGTATTAGTTGTCGATGATGTTGAACGTCGATCACGTAAGCCTTTGGCTACCATTGTTTAATATTCAATGATATCATCGAAATGAATCGTATATTTAATTGATTTCTTTTTTTTATTAAACGAAAAAAAACAAATCGATCCAATTGACAAACATAGAAAATAAAAAATGAATGATGACTCATCGATTAAACACAATAATGCATTTTGTTATTTGCCATTAGGAATTTCAAATGAAGGTTTAAGAAAATAAATTTTTGTGTTATATAACGACATCTATGAATAAATCTTTCTTATATAAATATTAAATTCGTTTTAGTTGTTTTAAAGTATAGTAAAAAAAAAGAATAGATGATAAAAATATTGAAAATAATTTCAATGATTCGCCTTCAGCTATTTCGAATAATAAAACAATCATTGGCATCTACTGACATCTAGCAGAATATTCCTATAGCATAAAATGATATTATATAAAAATCTTTTGATTTTTATTATTAATTTATTCTACAATTTTTATATTCAATTCAAAATATTATTATATATGAGTGCATCAAGTGCAAGTGTCTTTTTTATTTTAATTTGTTCATAAATATATGTCTTTGAAAAGGAGAGAGGTCACTATTAACTATTGATTTATTCATGCATTTGAAATTTTTTTTTTTATTTCAAAAACATTATTTTCAATTTTAAAAATTTATTTTTCTTTAAAATTTTTCATCCTAATAATCAAAAATTATAATTTCAAAGCATTTGATTTTAACCAATCAAATATTTGTTTATTTATCACCATTCTTTTTTTGTATTTTAATATTCGTTCAGACGTTCCATAACTTTGAGTTCGTTATTTTTAGTTTTCTTTAATTTTAGAAAAGAAAAAACTAAACTCATGCCTTACGATCGTCTTGTTCAAGTAGGTCGTGTTGCTTACATTGCCTATGGTCCTAATAAAGGTAAAATATGTTGTATTACAAATATAATCGATCAGACACGTGTACTTATTGATGGTCCATCATCACATGTTGCTCGACAAGCAACAAATATTAAATCATTACATTTAACAAAATATGTTCTTAAACTTTTACCTGGAGCACGTTCAAAAACTGTTAAAATTCTCTGGGATAAACATGATATAAATAAAAAATGGCAAGAATCACGTTGGTGTAAAAAATTACAAGCAAAACATTTACGTTTAAATATGAATGATTTTGATCGATTTAAATTATTACATGCTAAACAAGCATATAATCGTATATTGGCACATGAATATAATCGTTTAAAAAAGAAAAATAAAAAACAATTAGCTTCAAAAACAAAAAAACGTCATCCAAGAAAATTTGTTGCTAAATCACAACGTATTGCAAATAAATTTAAAATATTTGCTGCAACAAGTACAACTGGCAAAAAGAAATAAACCAAAAAAAAAAAAAAAGAATTATTTAATATAAGCATTGTTTTTTTTTGTCAAGTTTATGTTTCTTTGCTTTGATATATTTTTTCAATGCAGAACAACTTGAAAAGAAAATAAAAATAAGAAGAAGAATAAAGGAAAAAACCTACAAACAATGATGATTCTTATTTAGTAATCATTTCATTGATTCTAGATAGTAGTTTCGTTTTTTTCTTGTAAACATGATTGAAGAAACTTGGGATGATGATGATACACCTAAACCATCATTTCAACAGGTTTGTTTTGTAAAAAAAAGAATCCCGAGATAAATAGTGATGAAGTTTTTTGTTTTGTTTTTTACATAGCAACCAACAGTACAAAAATTAGGCATTGGACGTGGTAAATTATCATTTCCAGCAAATAATAATACTGGTATACAATATATCTGGTAAATTTTCATCGATTTATTAGTTACTGGAAAGCAAATAACTAGAATCAAAGTTTCTAGCTCTGTGTAGTTATATATTGGAAATTTTTTCTGAGAATAAAGTTTGATTATTAAGACTTGAGCCCGGCAGACCTAGGTCTGTGATTAATATAACGGACTCTATTAGTTTCTTGTTAATTGGAAAATGTATGGATTTGATTCTTTCGACAAAGAATAAGCATTAGAGAAAAATCTTGATATTTTATTAAGTTTAGTCAAAGAGCTTCTGGGATCGAAGAAATTCAACTGAGAAACTAATGACAGATTCACATTCTTCGATCAAATTTTATCAAAGAAATTTGAACTGCTCAGGATCCAGAACATGAGTAGAAATATCTTTTAACACACTTTAATTTAGTGTTTTATACAGACGTTAATTTCAGCTAGCAAAAGAAAAATTTCTGAACATGAAGTTCTCGCTGGTCACTTCTGAGTCTTTCGATTGTTTCTATCAAATAATTAATTACATATGATAAAGAAAGAATTTCATAATTGTTTTATTTAGAACCAGCAGCACCAGTTTCTAAATGGAATGGTGGTGGTACAAGTAATACATCAGGTGGTTTTAACAATTTTCGTAATAATAATAATGAAAATAATAAACCGAATACTGATGGAAATTTTGGTTCTCGAAATACTGGCAATAGTTTTGGAGGTAAATTCTATTGAATTCATTTTTTTATTTCTATCATTCGAAATAACTATCAATTCAATAGCTCGTAATGGATCAAGTGGATTCAATAGTGGTACAAGTGGAGCATTTCGAAATAGTAATGATGGAAATTCTCGTGGTTAGTTTCATACAAATATTTAAAATTTTTTTTATTTCGTTTTGTTCTTCTGTTTTTTTTTTAAAGCATGTTATAATTGTAATGAAACTGGTCATATGAGTAGAGATTGTCCAGAACCAAAAAAAGATAATCGTAGTAATCGTGGTGGTTTTAATTCAGGTATAGGTGATCGTAAAACTAGTTTTCGATCATCAGATAATACGGGAAATACATTTCGTAATATGAGAAATCAAAATAATAATGATGAAAATGATAATAATAATACAAAGCCAACTTTTACTGGATGGCGAGGTGGAGCAGCAAATAATAATAATAATAATGAATCTGATGATACTGCTAAACGTACAACATTTGGTAGTTCAAATACACGTGGTGGTTTTACTAATAGTGGTGGTGCATTTCGAGGTAATCAAAATATTTTATTAATCCTATGAAAAAAAAGAAAAGTTTGTTTTTTTATAGGTGGTCGAGGAGGATCTGGTGGTGGTGGTGATCGAGGAGGATTTAGTGGGGGTAATCGAGGTAAATGATTTTTTTTTTTTTGTTTCTTTCAAGATTCGGTAACTTTTATTTTTTTTAGATAATCGTAATAATGGAAGTAAGTTTAATTGTCTTTATTCAAATGATAATTGATATTGTATATTGTTTCTTTTTTCTTCTTCGTGTTTAGATTGTTTCAATTGGTGAGAGTTTATTTATATTTGAAATTCCTATAATTTTATTTTTATTCTTTTCTATGAATATTTTTTATAGTAATCAACCAGGTCATCAATCTCGTGATTGTCCTGAACCGAAGAAACCTCGTGGTATGTTTTTGTAAATAAGTAAAAGTTTTTGTCTATGATTAAATTTTTGTAGAAGGTAGTGGAAATGCTTTTTTTGGTGGTGGACGAAAAAATGATAAAGTAAATTTTAGTTTTTGATTTTTACAAAATAAATTTTTATGTTTTATTTAGGTATCGGATGACATTTTCGATCAACGTAAGTATATAAAAACTTCAAAAAAAAAAAGTAGATTATCAGAATTCGAGTATAGTAAAATTAGTAGTAGAATATCTTAAAGAAACTTTCTTTCAAAATGATTTCGCATAGTAAAAAAATAATGTTCTAAATAGTTGTCCAACTAATTCATATTCAGTTCAGTTTACTTATCAGATATTTGGTTATATTTTTAAATATGAATTATATTTATCTTAGCTGGTGGTCGTGGTGGTGCACAACCTGTAGAACGATATATTCCACCACCTCCACCAACAACTGAAGCTGATATATTTGGTGAAGCAGTTAGTAAAGGTGAAAATTTTGGTAAATATCATCGAACACAAGTACGTTGTTCACCTGAAGGTAAAGTAATAAAAATAAATTTTCTTTCTCTTTTCTTTTTTGTTACTATTCTATTATTTAAGATAAAGTAAAACCAATTGAATTATATGAAGAAGCAAATCTTGGTACACAAATATTATCAAATATTCGTCGTGCTCATTTTGATGAACCAACAACTATTCAACGATATGCTATACCTTGTATTCGACAACAAGATGATTTAATGGCATGTGCTCAAACTGGTTCGGGTAAAACGGTAAAATAAATAAAATTTAAATTTTTTTTTTTTTTCTATTTTGAATACTTTTTGAATTTTTTTTATATAGGCTGCTTTTCTCTTGCCAATTATTTCAAATTTACTTGAATATCATGCAAATGAATTACCGGAAAAACATCATCCACCATCACCTCTTTGTCTTGTCATTTCACCAACACGTGAACTTGCTTTACAAACTGAACGTGAAGCAAGAAAATTTGCTTATCAAACTCCTATTATACCATGTAAATTATCAAGCAAAAAAAAAAATTATCTAATAGAATATATATCTTTTTTTTTCAATAGGTTCTGCTGTTGGTGGTCATGATATGTTTACTGTTACAGATCGTCTTCGTGAAGGTTGTCATATATTATCAGCAACTACGGGTCGTCTTAAAGATATGGTTGAAAAAGGCCGAGTAAAATCTAATTAAATTTTTTTTTAATTTGTTGTTAAATTTAAATTATATATTTTAGATTTCATTAAGAAAAGTTAAATATTTTGTTCTTGATGAAGCCGATCGGTATATCTATAATAATTTACTTTTCGAGATTTTATTTATTTATTTATTTTTTGTTCATTTGTAAAGAATGTTAGATACTGGTTTTGAACCTGACATTCGTAAATTAGAAGATCTTGGTTTACCACAAAAAGATGAACGTATAACATCAATGTTTTCAGCAACATTTCCTGATGAAGTTCAAAGACTTGCTAAACATTTTCTACGTGAAAATTATGTTTTTCTTGCTGTTGGTATACTTGGTGGTGCAAATGAAGATATTGCACAAACTATTGAACCTGTATCACAAGCTAGCAAAAAAGATCGACTTTTTCAATTACTCGAAGATAATCTTAGTATGAAAATAATAAAAAAGAAATATTGTCTTGTGGAACTCACATCATGTTTTCCGGAAAAAAAAAGAAACTTAGACAATGAAAGTTTTAAGAATTTTCCATCAAAAATTGTCGAATAGCTCTTATCAGATTTGAATATATTTAGTCGAAGAAACGTTTTATCTTTGAAAGCTAAAGAAAAACGCATGTGAATTTCACATTTTTGGGTTTTGTATTAAGAAGATTTTTATATGAAATTTATATATATATTTTTTTTTGTTAAGAATCTGAACGTTGTTTAATATTTGTTGAAACAAAACGATCAGCTGATTATATTGGTGCTTTATTATCACAACGAAATTTTATGAGTACAACAATGCATGGTGATCGAACACAACGACAACGTTTAGAAGCTGTACAACAATTTACAAATGGAAAATGTCCTATACTTGTTGCAACATCAGTTGCTGCACGTGGTTTAGATTTTCCATTAATTGGTTATGTTATAAATTATGATTTACCTGATACAAGTGATTTTTATATTCATCGTATTGGTCGAACAGGTATTATTTATTATAAATTGATATTTAATTTTTTTTTTGTTTTCCTTAAGGTCGTGCTGGTCATTTGGGTAAATCAATTTCATTTTTTGATCCTGATCGAGAATCTGATCGAAATATTGCACCTGATCTTATACAAAAATTAAGCGAAGTAAAATATCATATTTTATTGTTAAAAAAACATCAACAACATATATGAAATTATTTTAGGCTGGTCAAGAAGTACCTGAATTTCTTAGAAAATATAGTGGAAGTATTCAAGATATTAATCGTGATAGTTTTGGAACAAAAAATACAGATGTAAATTCGATCAAAAATAATTTTTATCATATTTCAAAATTTTTATTTTTGTTTAGATGCGTTCCGGTGGTTTTGCTCATAGTCAAACAGCGGCTACCAGTGGTGGTACAGCATCGGCTGGTGCAACAGAAGATTGGGATTAATAGATAACAATACTGGTGATATGATTATCTAGACTATTTAGTTTTTTATTATAAAAGTTTATTCGTTCTTTGTTATTTTGTTTTTTTTTTGCTGTATATAGTCATCAATTCAAGCGATGTCCATATATGGAGTCAGATATGTTGTTAGTTTTTTTTTCCTTTGTTAGTCATGAGAAACTAGATGAACATGTCAGATGATATTTTTTTTTTTGCAAACAAAAATATACAGATATTGAAAGAAAAGAAGTAGGGATAAAAATGCTTTTTCTTATTTTAGATTGTAAATTTTAATATTTTTTTCTCTTGTCATGATCATAATTTGGTTTTAGGACATAAAAACAAAAGATTTATTTGTTTTTTTTTTGTTTTCTATCTAAGACGAACAATGGACAGAGATGATGATCCATGTAAATTATTTGTTGGGTAAATATGACTTTTTTTTTCAACTAATGAAAAGTTTTCTATATGGACTTATTTTGGGTGAAGAATAAAAATATTTAAAATAATGAATCCTCAGAAGGTTTATAACTCATTGCAAATGCCAATCAAAGGTAGCGATGATCATCAATGGACTGGTCTTAGATAGTCTAGAAATGCATCTATAGAATACGGCCGAGGACGATTATTTTAGATTCATTTTGATTTCTGCAGTCGGGAAGAGTCTATTTAGAGAAAATAGTTGAATTGTAAAAAAAAGAAGCATGCCTAAACCGTGCGAACGAAGCCTTTAAATCGATACGAATTTAAGACTACCATAGTTTTATTGTTCATGCACAATCTTCATTCTTAGTCTATACATATATATTAGATTAACTGTAATATATATTGTTATAATAGAGGTTTAACACGATCAACAACAACTGAAATGCTTCATCAATATTTTCAAACATTTGGTGAATTAACCGATTGTATTGTTATAAAAAATCCTACAACAAAACTTTCTCGTTGTTTTGGTTTTGTACAATTTACAACACCTCAAATAGCTGATCATGTTGTTGAATCTCGTCCTCATATTATTGATGGTAAAGAAATTGATGTTAAACATGCATCAGCTGAAAGTCATGAACGACATCAACAACAACTTGCTGCGGCTGCTGCCGCCGCCGCTGCTGCAGCTGCAAGTGGACATGAACGAAATCGTGAAACATCACCAGATAGACAAAAAAAACGTTCAAGATGGGAAAAACAACAACAACAATTATTAGATTCACATCGAAATTTTACATTACCACATGATATGATTACATTAAAATCAAATACTCATATAGCATTTATTCAACGTGATATGATTACTTATCCTGTACCATTAAAATATTTACGAGAAGATACTTTTCAACAACAACAATATAATTCACCTCCGAATGATAATTCATATTATCCACAACAATCTCGTCAGCAACATAGTAATAATTTTAATAATAGAATATATCAAACTTAAAAACTATGTTTTATATCTTAATTTTTTTTTGTTTTTCTTGTGTTATACAGAGTCAAAAGAGATAAAAAAAGAAACGATAGATATATTTGTTTATTTTGTTTTTCCATCTTCGCCAGGTGCACGAATACTTTTATCATATTTTTTTGGTTTAAATTTAAAATATTCTTCAGCATATGCTGAAATTTCAGATTTAACCATTGGAAAATTGAGACGAATATCAGAACGATTAACTTTTAACTAAATGAAATACAAAATGTAGTTTTAAGATAAATATTAAGAACAAAAAATATACTAATGGTTCATGAAACCATCCAATTTCTTGACTTGTTGTTTGTGGTTTTTGATATTTTTTTTCTGGTTCAAGATTTGCTCGATGTATAATATCAATAAATGATGCTAAAATAATAATAATTAATATTCTAGAAATAAAATTTTAAAGCTTTTGTTTTTTTTTGCTTACTATCTTCGCCTGCATTTTCATCTGGATAAACATTTGGTTTAGGTGTTAATGCTTCAGCTAAAATAAGAAATGTTAATAGAAATCAATATTATTAGATTGTATATATTACATTTTTTGAATGGATTAACAGAATAATTTGTAAAAAGTTTTTGTTGAGCTAATTCTTTACGAATTGTTTCAACAAGAATTGCTTCTTGATGAACTTGATTTTTAGGTTCTCGACCCTTTTTTCCTTCTTTACCACCAGCTTCAGCCTTAGTGGCAAAAAAAACAATTATGATAATGAGTAAAGAAAAAAAAATTATTTAATGTACCATGAAAACAAGAAACTAAAATAAAAATTATTTTGGTAATAATATATGTAATGTTTTTATCTTTCTGGATGTCATTGTAAAATAATCGTTGCTGCGAAACGACCTCCAATAAAAAGAATGAAACGATAGATAGAGACACATTGAGATTTGCAGGTGTAAGTATGGATTTTCTTGTCAGTAACGCCCTACTATCGTATAATGATGTTGTTTTGTAGTCTATAAACATTTTCTTTGGTTATTTCTCTTGAATTCAAAGAATAGCTAACAATAATAGGTAGTTCCCGTTGGGTTAAGTGTTTTATTTTATAGTTCGAAGTCCAGGACGAGATATAGTCCCGCACATATCAGTTTATGACATTTTTGTTGTATGGCTTCAAGTCGAGTTTGAGCGTGAGCTTGAAAAAAGAAAATAGTGACAACATCCACACTTTACTTCAACTAACAAATCCTGTATATGTATATTTACGAGACCAAGAAGAAAGAGAATGGAGAAGATAATAAATAAATAGTAGATATACCTACATGTGAGATCACTGTAACCGCAGAATTGTATTTATATAAAAGTTCGTGACACCTCCTATCTACATTTATATCCGTATCCTCATAATATCAAATAAGAAACGAACTACACTCATAGAAATACGTAGAATAGATGCTTCATTTCCTTTATTCAACTATACGCTAAGCTACTAAGTGTTCAACAGTAGTTTTGACCGTATAATGATCTCTAGCCAATCTGGTGTGTCCCATCTATTATTTAGATTAATATTCTTGTTGTTTTTCTTTATTTCCAATTAAAATATCGATTAGTAAAACATCAAATTTCGAGAGAAAACTCTTTTCATCATGTCGTTTCTTACTGGTTTATGAAGGTTTCACTGCGTATTTGAATCTTACTCAGAGGAGAAGAGTTTC